TTCCCTGAAATTCCAGATCTGCTCCTTTTTTTCTTTACCAAGTTACTGTTTTCCAGGTTTCCCCGTAGCAGGTCCTGGAGAGCTTATATTTTGCTGCTGATCTTTACTTCACCATTTTTAGTCTGGAAATGCATTTATACCAACATGTACAGACTTTTTCCTTGCCACTATTTCTTGAGCAGGTGAGTGAACAAATGTGCATAGCATCTAATGCTTTTTTCTTCACGGGCTTGAGCATTCTTGGACTTTGGGACCTGCAAGGACTCTAGATTCAGTCCTCTCTGGTGTTGAGTGACAACTGTGTACAGCTGACTAGTTTTTATCTATTCATGTACTTTTTTCCTCTACTTGAGACAACCCAGAGCCATAGTGCTGCCTGTGTTTTGAGTTAGTCTTGCTGAGTTACCCAGGCTGCACATGGACTTCATCAGCTACTCAACCTCCATGCCTAGCTTTTTAAAAATCAGCTCTTCAAAAAAATGTTTGCATACACAAGAACTTCCTTTTCCTCCAGCGCTGTACCCTAGCTTTGCTGTGGATTTGCTTCTTCTTGGTCTCTTGTGTAAATGGAATCGTACATACAGAATGTGGTGTTTCGTGGTGGCATCTTTTAGTCAGCTTAATAGCTTCAAAGTTCATCTGTGTTGTAGTGTGTATCAGTACTTTGTTCATTTTTATTGCTAAATAATATTCTATTATAGGGATGTGTCATATTTTATTTAGCCACTCACTGGTGTAGCTTGGGTTGTTTCCTCTTTTGGCTATTATTACTAAGGTTATTGTGAATATTTGTGTATATGTGTAAATGCATGTTTTCTTTTTTCATAGCTTTTTAAGTGAGAAATCTGTATATCCTATGGTCATGCTATGTTTAACTTTTTGTGAAGCTGCTACAGTGTTTTTCTTTTTTTCTTCTTTTTCAAAACGGTTGTACCATTTTATATTGTACTGCAAACATAGGCAGTTCCATTTTCTCCATACAGTATCAGGGTAATGTAGCTTTGAAGTAAAGTTTGAATTGTAGGTCCTCTAACTTTGTTCTTAGAGATTTTGGCAGGACTTGAGCTTGGGTCTGTAGATCAGTCTTAGTTCCCATGCTTGGGTGAACGTAGCTCAGTGGTAGAGCACAGTTTTATTAGCTTAAGTGAGACCCTGAAGTCAGTCTCTAGCACTAGAAGAATAGGATTGGTTACTATAGAGTTGTTATAGCTTTCTTTACATGGTACATGACAGTTTTTTATTTCATTTTTTTCTGTATTTTAGGGAAGGGTCTACACCACCTGCAAGCATGTGCAGGGGCCAGGGGTTTAATCCCTGGGCCTGCTGTGCCAGCCCTGCCCCTAGGGCAGGCTGAGATGGCAATTGAGACTGGGCATGGTGGCGTGTGCCTGTAATCCCAGCTCTTGGGAGACTAAACAGGTGGATCACTATGAGTCCAATCTAGTAGTGAGACCCTGAGCACCCTGTAGATCCTTCCCTAAAATACAAAAAGAAAAAAAAAAAAAAAAAAAAGAGGAGGTAGTATAAGGTCATTAGAGTATTCCCCTAATGGGTACCTGGGATGATGTTATTTTAAGGTATCCCACTTAAGAGAAGTTAGTGTATCAGTGGTTTGCTTCGGAACTCAGTATTTTGAAATAATGTCATTTCAGGTTAACTGTTGTGTGTATGATTGTTTCTTTTCTGGTTCTGTTATGCAAAAGACCTGAAATTATAGGGATTTATTATATTTATTTACCAAAGTAATTAAATTACAGTTTGTAGAAATTTTCTGAAAGCTTTTCCCCAAGACATATAATTCAAGACTTTAGGTGATTTCATTTTAGATATTCCAGTGTATTTTGGAATGACTTAAATTCATTGGCTGATTGAATAACTTGGTTTTTGACAAGGGAATATCCTTTGGAGAGAAGTTACCTTCTCTTAATCACTGGTTCCTAATTATATAAGGGAAAGAAACTAATCTTTTGATTTGCAAAAGTCAATTGTACCACCAATTGATTCTTTGTATTTGCTATTTTTAAAGTGAGGGACAGTTACACTTCAGGTTTGTTTTGCATAAGTTGATTTCATATGAAACATGTTTTCTTGAGGTGTTTATATTTGTTCCTGACATAAGTTCACAGAAAAGCAATTCTGGTGGTGAAATCGTGACAAGGCAGAGCTGGAGCTTTCTCCTTTGCTCATGGTTCTCTGTTCTCCTTAGCAGGTGTCCCTGTGATTTTTTTAAAAAGTCCTTTTTTGCTTTTGCTACGTAGAGCATGTTTTCCAGGTGGGAGTGCAACTCGAGGAAAATCTCTATTTTTTGAAAGTAGAAATAAACAGAGAAAGAGAGTGTCAGTGGTCTGAAACTGTTTCACTTTTAGTCTATATTTGTGAATTTTAAGTTCCTATATTTAATTTGGCTCAGATGATACACTTCTGAATCATACAGTAACAACAAGTTTGCTTTTTAGAGTCTGCCTTCATCATTTATTTTTCGTGATACCTTCATCTTTTATTTCTTGTGACAGGAGATCAGATCATGCTGTTATTTGCTCTACCACTGAGCTATGTTCTCATTCCTAGAATCTTTTAAAAATATTCACATGTGATAATAGAATTATGAATTTTTAAGTTTTTTTTTTTTTTAAGTGCAGGGTCTACAGGGTCTCACTACACAGATTGGACTTGTAGTGATTCTCCTGTTTTCAGCTTCCCAAGCACTGGGATTACAGGCACGTGCCACCACGCCCAGTCTCAATCGCCATCTCAGCACGCCCCCAGGGGCTGGCACAAGAGGTTGGGGATCAAACCTCTGACCCCTGCATCTGCCTAAGCATGTGTTTTAATCCGCTGAGCTAACTGGCCTGCCCTGAATTATGAATTAAAAAAAAAAAAGTGTTAGATGTGCTTAATGGTTCTTATAAAATAATTTGCCCTGTAATCAAATGTAATTTTTAGTGTTGAAGTGCTTGTTTCCATTGATAGTATCACTTTGATTCCCTCTTTCCCAGGGTATCCCTTCAGAGATATATTAAGCATACATAAAATATGGCACAAATGTGTTCTTTTATAAAATCTTTGAACATTGTTGTTTCTGGAAAGCTTTTGATAGTGGCACAGTGTGAAGTGGCACCATATTAAGCAGCTCCCTCAGTAGTTTCCAGCCTGGCTATTACTGGTATTGTTACAGTGCACAGCTGTAGAACTGCCACCTCCTAACAGTATGCCAGTGTCTCCTTGGGATAAAGCCTGAGTGGGGAATTGCTGAGCTGAGGCATGTTAATAATTTCTGTGGTATATCAGGCAATATGGCAGAATCTGACATGGTACAGTAGCTTTCAGCTGGGGAACGATTTTGCTTTCCAAAGAGACATTTGGCAATGCCTGAAGGCATTTTTGTTTGTCACAGAAAGAGGGAAAGGACTGTGCTTCTGGTAAGTTTGGGGCTTATTTGGTTTCTACAAACTCTTTAAATAGTTTGGTCATTTTTCCTTAAGTGCAAACATACACCCTATATTCGACATATAAATTTCAGGTCATGTTTCTGTGTTTGTGTTTGCTTTCTAGTTGGTAAAGCACTGTGGATATTTGGAACATACTGTTTAGGGTGAAAGGTCTTTAGATTTGGGTATGGAAATATCTTCCCTAAATATTAGTTATTCCAAGTTTTTTTCCCATGTTCTTGGAAACGGGGGGCTTCTGTACTTCTTTTATGCATTTGGAATTATCCTGGCATACTGTGTAAGACATCAGCATGCCTCCACCCAGACTGTTATTGTTGGACCACACCATGTCATAAACAGTCCGTCCTTGCCCACTGATTTGAAGTGATGTTGTCAGGTACTAAGTTGCCATACATGTCTTATTCTAAAATGTTTCAGTATTTGGTGAAAAGATAAAATTAACCCTGCCTTTCTAATCTTCCCTTGCTTTTTCCTGGTTCTTATTTTCTGTGTGAGTGCGCCTCCTTCTTTTCTTTGACTTTTTTGGGTTTAGGGATTAGGGCCTTGTTATGTTGCCCAGGCTGGCCTTAAACCCCTGTTCTCAAGTGGTTGCCTTGCCTCAGCCTCCAGTGTGCGTGGATCTGTAGAGATGTACCATTGTACCCTGCTCTACATGGACTTTAGGGTTAGCTCGGGCGTGGGTGGATCTGTAGAGAGGTATCATCATACCCTGCTCTTTGTGAACTTTAGAGTTAGCTGATGTGACTGTAACATTGTTGATGGTTTTGTCGTAATATCACTATAGTTGTAGGTTAACTTAAGCAGAATTCATGTGTTTCATGAGGTTTGACTCTTGAAGTACATGGGTGTGTATCTTAGAAATGTTTCCATTTAGGTCTTTTATTTACCTATTTTATTTCTATCTTAATTCTTTTTTGTTTCATTTGTAAACAGTATCTTTTCTTCTATTACATCTAATTAGTTGTATATGTGGATTATATGTATGATATATTATCATTACTTTTCACTTATTTTTACTTAACTGCCACTGCCAATTTTGTTGATAATTTTGTTGATTTTGTTGATTTTCTAGTATTATAACTATCATGTACCAAGAATTTTATTTTATTTAAAAATAATGATACCTCTGATATCTTTTTGTCATTTATTTGCATTTACTAGTAATTCCAAATGGTAAATAGTAAACTGTAAATAATAAATAATATCCTGCTATGGTAGGATATTTTCTGTGAAGATGTCTGTATCTTAAAAGAAATCCTTTTCGTATATCCTTTAAATTGAAGGCTAATTTTTGATGGATTGAGATAATTTTATTACATTGGAAATATTTCTCCTTGTAAAGAATTTTCATCAAGGGGTGTTATGTTTTTAAATGCTTTTCAGCATTCATTGAAACAAATATTTTTTTTTTTGCTTCTTGGGTAGAATGAATCATGTCAGTAGATTTTATCCTTTTTAGTAGATTTTTTCTTTAGCTTATCTTTGCATTGATGGGTTAAAACGGACATGTTTGAGGAATTTTTTTTTAATATTCTCCACTTTTTTTGACAGGTTTATCATGTTCATTCTGACAGCTATGAGACACAAAACCAGCACTTTGGAAGAAGCTTAACAAAAGAAACTATAAAGGATGGTAAGGATTTAAAACATCATGCGGTTATTATCATACAGTTCAAATAATTCTAAAGTTGCTATCATTCTCCTTTTAAATAACAACTCAATAATAAATTTTTGGTGGGGAAGTGAAACTTAGATTCACAGAACTGGATTAATCATAATTGCTGGTTCACAACACCAAAAGGAAGGGATCCCAAATGTCTGTTTTTTAATTTATCATTTATTTATTTTCATTTATGTATTTGCTACAGAGTCTCACTATGCAGCTCGGACTTGTAGTGATCCTCCTGTTTTCAGCCTCCTCAGTGGTGGAATTACAGGCGTGCTCCACCACACCTCCTCTCGGTGGCCAGCTCAGTGTGTCTGGGAGCGGGGCTGGTGTGGCATATGGTGCCGAGGATTGAATTTGGACCCTGCACTTGCCAAAGCAGGTGCTTAGTCTGCTGAGCTGTCTTGCCAGCACTAGCTATCTTGCCAGCCCTGTCCCTTCTTTACATTTTCATTAATTTCCTATTAGTGTGTGTGTGAGCTTTCTGGGGCTGTGAAAAAATCTCTGAGATGATCAGCCTGAAAGGAAAAGTGTTCGTTTTTGCTCACAGTTTGTCTGTAGTCACCTGGCCTGTTGCTTTGGTTCTGTAGCAGCCCTGCACATCATGGTGGGAGAGCTGCTCACTTCCTGGTGGTCGGGAAGCACAGAGAGGGAGCCACAGCAGGGCCCCTAGTGTTCTGTTACAACCTGGGCCCGCAATGGCTCCCTGTCTTCCACCACACGTGCCTACAACACATCCCTTAGAGGACATTGCAGATTCAAACTCCAGCACTGTCCTTTTTTAAAACTATTAAACATCTGAGAGCAAATGTTCCAGCTCAATGCTGAAACTAGAGATTGCCTTTAAACTCAACTTTTAGGTAGGTTGTTACAGAATATTGATACTTCTTGTTAGAAAGAGATATTAGAGATATTAAAATGTATAGTGTTGCATATGATGCATCTTTTGAGGCTTCTCGTGTATACCTCAGCTATCTAAGCTTTTAGACTCAAGGAACAATCAAGTGGTATAAAAGTGGTTTAAATAAAAGTCTGGTTGGGGGGCCTGGCCCTAGCTCAGTTCTTTAAGTGGCTGCTTCCACAAAACCGTCAGCCTTAGGTTGCTGTAGTTCGATCCCCACAACTCCAGCCAGCCAAACCTGCCCTGAAGGCATTCAGAGCAATAAATAAATAAATGAAGTCTGGTACCAAAAAATAAGACAAATAAGTAGAAGTCTGTTACATGTTGCTTTTGAATATTGATGGTTAATAGTATAAAAGCACACATATCCTGTCTCTTTGGAAATAGTTTATTTTTATCTCTACTAAGATGAGATTGTGGTGTAATACAGAGTTTATAGAAGATTTTTTTTATTAGAAGACAAATGTCCAGTGTGAACTAAACAGCAAGATAATGTTCAGTTGGCTGTTTTAACAATATTTTCTTAGGTTGTTGTTTGATTCTATCTACATATATTTCTTAATTTCTGTACAACAGCAGATGAACATACTATTTTTAAAAGCAGAAATCAAATAGTATGTACCCATAAATTTCCAATATGATAAAATTTTAGAACAGTTTTAAGAGGTTAAAACATTTAGAAGTCAGAATTTTCAGTAATGTGGTCAACCTACAGAAGTGCTAGTCCAGTAAAAACATGCTTTTCTGAAAAAATAATCAGCATTGTTGAGAATAATAAAAATTGGTAAAATTATGGTTTATTACTTGGTTGTGGCCTATTGACACTATTAAAAATGGTTATGGGCTGCGGAGATGGCTCAGTGGAATAAGCGCTTCCCTGGCAAGTGCAAGGGCCTGAGTTCAATCCCCAGTTCTGCCAAAAAAAAAAAAAAGTTATTATTTGACTCGATTTTAAATTAGCAATTAAATGTGATTCTAACAAGGAAATAATTATTTTTATTATAAAATCCCTCACAGTAACAACTAAAACAAATCTTAGAATTACGTTTCTTAAGAAAATACATAGAACTAAACTTCTAGTCTACCTGCAATAAATTTGTTTGAGGGTACTGTTTTGTTTAAATGTTTTCTAATAAGAGTTCTTCACCAAAAATTAGGTTACAGTCTAAGTTTTTATATCTCTGTATAGTTCCTAGAAGTTTACAACTATTCAAATAATTATAAGGGGCAATAGGAAGAAATTGAAGAGTTTTATGTACTTTACTTTCAGTAGTGATATTTCATGATTTGATTATAATCCTGATTTTATTGTATAGGAGTCTCCAGGTTTTTTCATAATGGCTGCAGCTTAAGAAAAGATGCAATTGCTGCCAGTATTCAGAAGATTGAGAAAATTCTGCAGTGGTTTGAAAGCCAGAAGCAGCTTAACTTTTATGCAAGTTCATTACTATTTGTTTATGAAGGTTCATCTCAGCCAGCCACTACAAAATCAAATGACAGAATTTTGGCAGAAAAATTCTTGTCCAAAGGACCACTGTCAGACCCAGAAGTACTGGAGTGTAATAATAACTTTTGTGTGCTAAGCTCCACAGTGAACGGAAAAATAGAGTCTTCAGTAGGCAAGAACTTGTCCAAGATGTATGCTCGTCACAGAAAAATGTACTCGAGAAAGCCTCACAGTCAGACTTCCTTGAAAGTTGAAAACTTGGAGCAGGACAACGGATGGAAAAGTGTGTCGCAGGAGCACCTCAATGGCAATGTGCTGTCCCGGCTGGAGAAAGTCTTCTACCATCTTCCCACTGGTTGCCAAGAGACTGCAGAAGTCGAAGTGCGAATGATTGATTTTGCTCATGTGTTCCCTAGCAACACAGTAGATGAGGGATACGTTTATGGTTTAAAGAATTTAATTACTGTACTTCAAAGTATTTTAGACAATTGAATCTTTTGCTGTCTTTTTAAGGAGTGGGCCAGTTATACTGAAGAGCAGCAGTCATTATCTCTGCATCTGTAATGCTGTGTAAAAAATTTGTATTGTGAGTTGATGTTTTATTTGTCTTTATACTTTTGGTAGAAAGATTATCTTTTTTATACTCTTACTCAGGAATACTAATTTGTTCATTAGAAAACTATGAAGAATAAAGAAACAGGAATGTTAAGCAGGGACTGTGGTGGTACACGGCTTCAACAGCTATTTGGCTTGAGCAAAACACAAACCATCATTCAGTCACAAGAATTTATTTCACTTTGTGTAGCCAATTGATCATGAAATCTCTGTCCACCCAACCTTGACGATGAGCCATATCTTACCTATTACATTATTAAACACCTGCAAAAATTTAGAAAGCACAGGTTGTGTCCTTAGTATTGATACTACTACTACAACTGGAGAAAATCCTACTTCAGAAATAAGTACTGTTTAGGTTTTATATCAAAAGTTCAGACCAGCATATCAAAAGGTGCTTTTTAGTGAAATGATTTAGAATTGTTCTGTTCTCAAAGCAGATTTCCCTTTAATTTCCATTTATCTATTTCAAAATACTGTGTAAAAAATATAATTGAAATCAACAACAACAACAAATATCTTGATGTTAAGGGCACTAATATTAGCAGGATCAGAAGAAGAGAGAATTATTTTTAAGAAACAAAGTATTTTTCTTTTAAATTCTTTATGGCAAAATTGAAATTGATATTGTGAAAAGTGTTATAGCCACATAGTGACACTTTTACACAGCAACTTCAAAAAGGTGGATGATTTTTGCTTTATTTTTCCTTTAAATAGTTTTTGGGAACTTTTTCCTGTTAGAATTTATGTGTTTATCCAGGTGTGGTGACACATGCCTATAATCCCAGCACTTGGGAGGCTGAGGCAGGAGGATCATTGCCAATTTGAGACCAGCCTGAGCTACAAAGTGAGCTCAAGGCAGCCTGAACTACATGGCAAGAACCTGTCTGAAAAAGACAAAAAAAAAAAAATCTTTTTTCTTTGTATATCTATCTCTTGTTAAGCAGTAGTATGTTGGTGAAAAATAGTCTTTCCAAATTTTGTTAAACAGTGAAAGATGACATCCAGTTGTGTAAATGTTAATGAAAATACTACAAGCATCATAGATTATGTATTTTCTGTATCCATACTTGTCTTTCACAGTTTTTTTACATCTAATTCAACAGAGAAATTATAATTTAATTTCTTGAGGGGCAGAATCAATGTTATCTTTCCTGGAAAAATAAAATTTGTGTTTTGTTTCATCCACCTTTTTAAAAATAATTACTTTTCAGTGCAAATGTTAACTTTGAAATTAAATTTGCCAATGCATTTGAGATTAATGCTATCATCACTTGTATTGAGTTACTATTGATTAACATGATTAAATAGTTGAACAGTTTTGCCATATTCATGTTTTGGAGTTGGGAATTAGTAGACCTTTTCATCTGCTGTGTGATCTAGAGGAAATTTAAAGTTGATTTTCCCCTTCCAGCCCTCTCTGAAGGTACTTTGCAAATATCTGAGTCTGAGCAAAAACACCAAGTAAATGCTCTACAAATTCTTTGCTTATTAGTAAATCTGTTAAACCAGAATAACTTTAAATCCATATGCATTTTTAAAATTAGAATCAATGTGAAATACTTTTCATGGGGATTTCATATTTTTCCTCTACAGCCCAAATAGGTATTGGCTATTGGGTTTTTATTTTTTGTTAAAATTAATTTCACATCATAATTAATAGAAAAAGTTTGAAGTTTTACTTGTTTTTTTCTTACAATGGACCTTTGTTGTTGTTGTTGCTATTTCAATAATGGTTCAATAGTAAGTTTAGATGATAAACACTATGTTGAATCTTAAGGCTTTTTCTTAATAAAGTTAAGTATTATCAGATCCTTTGCATAATTTAGCTCAATAAAGTCTGAATCAGCTGTTCCAGATTTTTTTTTGTCTGTATTTGGAAAAATAGTTTTGTAAAATCTGTGTCTTACCTTTTTAAAACGATAGATCATGTTTTGTTTTTAAGAAAACGAAGTACTTTTTATCTTTTTTTCAGGGAAGGGATTAACATTTAATTCTTTTTGTTTACATTTTTTAATCACTGTTATCCATTGCCCATTTTACATTACTTTATAAGTAAGCTTACATGTAATGGAATAAGTATATTATGTAATCTATATGTGACTATTTTATAATGTAGTCCTGTCTTTTAAGATGATAGTGAAATTTGCCACTGTTGGGTTGAATGATCACTATTCACCAGTCATATTTAAACATGTAAATGTTTAAGAAATAGGCAAAATAAGGATATAATTTGAATTAGTAGGATTATTAGTCCCCACCTCCAAAAACATGAGTAATGACTGTGTATTTCTCATGGAATGCACTCATAAAAAGGACTTTTAAGAAATGGATGTCAATACATTTCTCAAATAAAATTTAAATTGTAAAATAGTTTTATACTAAAGTATTTACATTAATTGATATTTTACTATGGATGGAAGTTGCATAGATTCAAATAAACTAAAATTAATGATAAATGCTAAATATTTTATCTAAATAGTTTTTCAAGAACCTGCTTAAACATGTATATTAAATGGCTCTGCCAGGGAGCTTGTGGTATTTCAAGTCAGTATTCGTAATTCTTTGTGCTGGAAAACGCTTGCACTCCTCTGCCTCTTTACACTACAGTTTGCTATTGTGAGACTAGACTGTTCAACTAGATAAGAACCGTTGTTCTGAATGTTGATTGAGTATAGTTTAGTATTTTATAATTTCAAGATGATCTTCATGTCATGGTTTTCAGTTTACTAAATTTTATAGCATTTAAAAAAATCTACAGTTCTTTAAGTTGTATTTCTCTTGTTTCATACAACCAAGAGCACATTTTTTGTTAGAACTTGGGACATTGTAGGGTAAAAGAAAACTAGAACATAGGTAGATTTCATTATGACATTACAAAAATTTTGTCCCCTATTTTAAAGTATTGTCATAATTTAGTGTTTTCTCTTAGAATTTGACATTTAAAAGTTAATTTGCTTTAAAGATTGTTTACAATGCTTTGAAATTATCTTCCTTATCCAGTGCCTTTGACCTTGATTTGGTAATCTGTAACTTCAGTTAGCCTTTTCTTTTACTTTCTGTAATGTTCTAGTAGTCCGGAAGACATTTTCTTTTTAAAAGGTGCCACTTTGGTGATGTGAAGAGGCGGCAGTTACGTAGTGTTTACAGGAACAAGGAGGACTGCTCTTGGAGGCCAGGCTTCTTAGCGCATTTGGAGCATTTGGTGGACGTCTACCACGTGCCAAGCATTTTTATTTCCCTCCCACCAAGTGTTGAATTAGGGTGGAAGAACTAATATCCAGATGGTAGAGATTAGAAGTCATATTTTGCTGGATCGTAGCCTCCCTTTGATTCTTGAGTTTGTGTAGTAGTTGTAGATCACATGAAAAAGCCTTAATTTTTCTTACTGATAAAGGTACGTTTATCTGTCCTTTATGAGTGGTGTTTAACATAACATTACTGTGAAAAACATTCCATTACATATTCACAGCAGACATGTTAGGCCCCAGTCTTACCTTCGGATAACTGGTATAGCGATGTGAAGTTACTATAACTTAAAATGTTAATGTTTTAAGAAGATTGGAGGCACAGTCTTTTATTAAATTCTTAGGGGTATTTTGATAGCCTCTGTAAGAGGAAATAGTGTTCATACAATGAAACAATTTAACATATGTTCAATAATTTTTAATCTTTAAATTTTGTTATTGGGGTTAAATTTTGGCCAGGTGTTCACATACAATATAAACAATTTAATTATGAAGTTAAACAGTCTTTATGATATACAATGCACCTGCATTTGATAAAGATGGTGTGCACAGAGACACTTTATATGGGAATTGTACTGGAAGATTAATGAAAGCATGTGAAATTGCACCTAAAGTTATGTTACTGGTGACTATGTGCAGTGATGCTATTTTTTTTTTTTTTTTTTGTATTTCATGAATGAATGTAGTCTCAATTAGTTTGAATGTCCGATGTCTTTAGTTTTATTTTCTTTTTTAGTGTTTGTAATTTGTACTGTTGATGGATATTCTTGGACTGCAGGGGTTATTGTCATTGTGTAATTTGTGTTTTATAGAATCATCTAATGTGGTATACCAATTTTTATAAGTAATATTTAGATAATTCTAATAACTGTATATTTGACAACCCATTAAAATGTTTTGCATTGGAGCTTTTTCTCCCATTAATTGTAAGATACTAGTAAAATATAGCTCATTCATCCAACAAATACTTGTGTTAGGTACCAGAAACTGGAAGTCATGAGGGATCCAAAAAAAACTGAGCCACATGTTGTTGGAAAGAAACATGAACCTCAGCGATGATAAAAATATACTTTGTGTGATTTTTTTTTTTTTTTTTGCCATGAGCTAAAATCTTTGGAATTAACCTAGTATGAGTAGACTATCGGAAAAAATCAATTGACTTGGCTGTGAAGATATATAGATTTTAAACATAAGTATGCAAGACCTTTTTGCATGAATGAAATCCTGTGAATTGGTTCCCTGGTCAGTGACCAGGTCATTCTTTTCACTTGTTAAGATGCAGTGTCAAGACACCTAATCATGCTGTGCATAGTCTTTGGCAATTTTAAAAAGATGAATCCTCAAGATTCAGTATTTCAGTTCTCAAGATACATACTGTCTGGTACAGAGAAAAGTCCATGTAAATGTGATATAAGGTGTTACTGGGGCTGTGACTGACACTTGGGAGTATCCAGCAAAATAACGAGAGGGAAGTCGCTCCCAATAGTGTGAAGAAGAGAGTGATTTTGTAACGTCACAGAAAGTTTAGGTCAATTCTCAGAACACCGGATTCCTCCTTCATTCCTGCTTTATATGTACACTGTAGGGCAGATCAGTACTTTGGGAAATCATTCTTTCTCTTTCTTTCTTCTGAAAATAAACACTGCTACACCTCAGTTTACAGCTGAGTATACAGATGATAAGCTAAAATGAACAGTACAAGTACTTTTAAGAGTATAAGTAATCCTTGGGGATTCTGGTTAAGTAGGCCTAGATGGGATCTGAGATGTTCCCAGTCAACAGGCTACCTGTAAATAGCAAGACTTGCAAAATTTCCTTACGTGAGGAAGTACAGTAGACTAAACAGCTCGGAACAAAGACCAGCCAGGGCTGTTTGCAAGCAAGGGAGCTTGCAGTGGAGAAAGAAGGAGGTTTAGAATGGGAGAGAAGGCAGCCAGCAATGGCTCAAGGCAATGCTGGCCCTTTTCAATCAGAAGAAAAGTGAGCTAGGCAAGTCAGACTGAAACACTTCTTTCTGCAGTACATTGTGGTAGTTGTGAATAATAAACTTGCCATTTTCCATTTGTGCTAGTTGCATTGTTTTTTCCTATGTGAAAACTTTGTCATTTGAAGAAAACATTTTGCTTACTCTGAGTACTTGACCACTGTGGAGATGTTATGACATAAGTGATTGGTTCCTATGCCCTGAAAATGTTTGATCTAATGTCAAAGGTCACATCTATCTGTTCTCTAAGGGAAATTAGGAAGGTCTTCAAAATAATTTTTCCAAGGGCCTGCTGGTTAGCTCAGCAGATTAAAGCACTTGCTTAGGCAGACGCAGAAACCAGGGATCGATCTCCTGTGTGCCCTGCCGGCCCTGCCCCTGGAACACACTGAGTGACTGAGACTGGGTGTGATGGTACAAACCTGTAATCCCAGCACTTGGGAGGCTGAAAACAGGAGGATCACAGGTACGATCTGTGTAGTAAGACCCTGTAGACCCTAAACTAAATACATTTAAGTGTGTTTTTCCAGTGCTAGGAGGTCAAACCTAGGGCCTTATATATCCTAGACAAGTACACTGAGCTACACCTCTAGTTCTTGGTTTTTTGTATTTTAGGGAGGGTCTACACAGTGTTCAAGGTCTCACTACTAGATGGGACTCATAGTGATCCACCCGTTTACAGCCTCCCAGGAGCTGGGATTACAGGTGCACTACCATGCCCAGTCTCAATTGCCCTCTCAGCATACCCTGGGGGCAGTGCTGTCATGGCAGGCCTGGGGATTGAACCCCAGGCCCTAATCTGCTGAGCTATTTGGCTGGCCCTTCTAGTTCTTAAAATTGTGTTTGTTACAAGTTTACCTAACTTGGCAAAGTGCCTTAGGATGTTAAAAAGTGCAGGCAAAGGACATAATATTATTTTGGTAACAAAGAATTATAGTTTGGCTATACTAAATCAGCTCTTGATAGTGCTTTTAAGGCAAGTGCAGAAGTTATTTATGTAAACAGAATTCATGTACAAATTGTTTTCAGAGACAGTTCATTGGGTCATTTTGTGGAAATCCTAGATTTCAGACCAATTCTGCAGAGTGCTGCAGCTGAGAGGTAATGAAGGCCTGAGACACCGACTTTAGTGATTTATCGTATTTATTAGAACATTCTGTAGTTTGACCTTTCTTAGGTGTGAGTACGTTCCTCTTGGTCTCCTGGCTATTATAGAGAGCCTTAGCCTTAGTTAACTCCATTTGCTTTCCCAGGATAGCTTTTTTTTTTTTTTTTTTTTTTTTTTTTTTAATGTTTTTTGCAGAACTGGGGATTGAACTTAGATCCTTGTGTTTGCCAGTCAAGCACTTATCCTACTGAGCCATCTCCCTGGCCCCCTACAGGACAGCTTTAAAGAAATTGGAATGTGAAAGTGGACATTTGACTGCCACTAAACACAATTGGAAGATTATAAATTTAAGACTGATAATTTCTAGCTCTTGGGTCCAGTTCAGAGAACTCTTACGTTTGCACAGAAATTGCTACCACAGTTCTCCTGACTACTTTTTATTAGTGTGTGTTTGTGGTACATAGCGATTGCACAGGTTGTGGATAGCAATCTATGTACATCACATGTTTACAGCTTTTTCCATCTATCACTCTCCTACTTCCTCCACATCTTGGTTCCCTTCGCATTTGCAAGAGTTCTGCTTTCAGCATGTTCCCTTTATTCATCCTCTTTCTTTCTTCCCCTCCCTCGTGTCTTGCTCCCCCATCCATTTGAGAGAATAGGTTACATTATTTCCTTATAGAAGAGAAGCCATGTGATACTAAGTTTGTGTGGCTTCACTTACCATTGTGATCTCAAGTTACATTGATTTACCATTGACTGCCTCTAGTTCATGGCGGAGTCGTACTCCAGTAAGTATGAATATGGAGTTTGCTGAAAAGTTCATGGATTGTAGACATACATGGATACCCATGTTTATGGCAGCACAGTTTGTAGAAGCTAACATCTTAGTGTCTCAGTTACTTTCTTGTCAGAGACGCAACACCCAACACCCACAATTAACGGAAAAGAGGTTTAGTCTGTGTCTTAGTTACTCTTCTCTCGTTGCTGGGACAAATATCCGACACTCAAAATGAAGGAAGGAAAGGTTTATTTAGCTCACAGTTACTGGAGGTTTCAGTCCATACTCAGCTGGGTCCAATGCAGAGCAGCACATAGCAGAGGGCAACTTTTCATGGCTGCAGCAAAGAGCAAGAGTGCAAGGGAGGGAGGGGTAGCAGCTCAAGCAGCTAGCTTCTCTTCCCACCTTACATTGTAATGCAAATTACCTGCCCCAGTTTAGGGGAAGTACTCACACCTATGGGTACTTCCCAGTACTTACCCACCTATGGGTAATCCCAGCAGTACTAAGACCCATAATCCCAGCCTTGGATCACACATAATCCCAATGGATCATGAGTTGACACAAACTCTAGAAGTCCTCACCCCATGACTACATGAGGCTTTGGGGGGACAACGAGACACAAACCATAACAGTCTGGCTCACAGATTGTAGAGGTTTTTAGTCCCTAGTTGTCTGATGCTGAGGGAGAACAGCATGGGTCCTGACAGGAAAGATAGCTCATGGCAGGGCAGCAGGGAGGAGCAGCGAAGGAAATAGACTCAGACCTTGCCCCTAGTGGCCATGGCTTCTGACAACAGATGAGCTCTAAACTTCCGTAATCCACCCACCTTCCCAAAGCCCCACCTAGAGTACAGGAAGTTTGGGGCAATACATAGATGCAAACCATAACATACAGCCCCTTGCCTCCAATACTCATGCATATCCCCCTATGCAAAATATGCTTAGTCCATCTCAAAGAGTTGAACCAAAGTCCCAAGAGTTGCAGCATTGCAAGTCTAAAGTTGCCTGTAAGACTTAAGGCAAACTCTCAAAACTTAAGCCTCTGCAAAAAAATGAAAGTTAGATATGTCCAACATAAAAGGCACAGGGCAAATATTTCTATTCCAAAAGATTGGGCAATAGAAAGGAACAGAACCAAAGCAAAACCCAAACCTAACTGAGCAAACACACTGGGCAATCTGTGGCAGTATATGAATTCCAGGGGCTTGAGGGCCCTAGCCTTCCAGCCTTGGCAGTGGTAGTGGTGCATATGGCTTCTTGGGCCAGCTTTCGGCACCCCTCGCAGCTCTCAGATGACCCACATTTCTGGCTTTTCTAACATCTAGGGTTCTGTTCTGCATTGGCTTCTCCCTCACAATTTCCCACACTGCCCTCTCAGGAGTACATTGCCTGGTCTCCCAGTCCTTTTTCTGAAATCTGGATGGAGGTTCTGTGCCCCTACCCACTTGCATTTTTTTTTTTTTTTTTTTTTTTTTTTTTGTTTTTTTGTTTTCAGGAGTAACTGTAGTAGTTGTCACTCCTTTATACTTAATATTCTCTATACC